TATTAATTTCAAAATATAATCCTAAAATAACCAAATGGATATTACCAAATAACATTATAGCTACTATAATTTAGTATAATATCGTGGTTTTAAGAATTTTTCATGCACCATTGTATCTCCCTCTTTCCTCAGCTATTCTTCTCTGCCTCCTCTCTTTGATTTACTAATTCTTTTCACCTGTATTTTTCTATTTGTAAAATTTTCTATTTTGCTAAAAAAAATATATATATAATAAAGTAGTAAGCAACTAAATGAAACGGTTAAAAGAATATTTTTAGGAAGATGCACAACAAATACCACTCAATTATGAATGAATATAATGAGTATGTGCAGTTATCGTTAGAAATGTACCGTCATTTTAGACACTAAAACGTAAGCCTTGACATGTATTTGAAATTTTAAAACATTTCAGTTTTATCTATGATTCTGTTTTTATTCGTTGAAATCAGTCACCGTAATTTTATTTGTAATAAAATTTGTTACTTAATTACGCAAATTAGTATATATTATCACATTAATATTACAAAATAATATTATAAATATGTTATTTTAATTTTATTGTCACTATAATTTAATATAATGACGTATTTTTTACTTTCGTTGCTTCTCTTTTCTCAAATATTTTTCTCTGCCTGGGGTCTAGACTCTAGAGCTCAGCTCCATGTGAAATGCGTCCTTGGGAAATGGAAAAGAAATGCCGCTCAATTATGAATGGGCATGAACAATTGTCGTTAATAATTGTCAAATCATTTAAAATACTAAACATTAATACTGGTGAAGCTTTGAGTAGTTGATATGCGTTTCAAATTTCGTACATAACTCTATTCCTATTCGTTAAAATCATTCACTGTAATTTTATTTTATAATAAAAATGTTTAATTATTATATAAATTAACATATATAATATAAGCTCATATATAAGATGAAATATGACAAAATAACATTGTAGTTATATTAACTTTATTATTATAATTTAATATAATACCAGTGGTTTCCTTATTATTTTTACGCACAATTCACAATTGCACTTGTTCTGTACGGTTAAGTAAAGTGATTAATTATCTGCTTTTTATGAAAAACACCACTTTTTATGGGTGGATTAAAAGTGGGTTAAAAAATTCATAATCCAAAAAAATTTTAAAATGAATGAAATAGTAATTGACAAGTACATTTTTTATTGAATTTTAAGTTTATTTTGATTAAAAATTAAATTAAACTGATTTTAAATGATTTGCCCTTATGTTACACGGTATTGACAATGGAAAAGCCTTTCAACGTCATCCAATCTTTTGTAAAAGCAGAGAACAACCTTTCAACGAAAGCAGGATGACCCAAAGAAAACACGAAAAGCAGAGTGCCGTGTGGGGACACACAGATATAAAGTTTAATTAACATATATACATTATTGAAAAAACGAAAACCAATGGGCGGAACGATCGCTTTGGGCTGTGTTATTGGATCTTGGTTAAGATTATTTATTTTTTGTGGGTTATATATTTGAGTTTCATAAAATTTTTTTTTCCTCTCTCTCAATTAATTATATTGTTAAAAAAAAAACAAAGGCGGTGTGGGGATAAACAGGTATAAAGTTTTGATTACCATAGATCCATTATTGCAGGGACAACATTTTGCAAAGCATGCACCAGTAAAACAAAAGAGATGGCCGTACATATATATAAATAATGTTGTTTTATAATTAGTGCAGAGTGAATTGTACTTTTTATTTATTTATTGTCAATTTAAAAAATTTATTTTATTTTGTTTTTATTTTTTGTGCTTCTTGATACTCCTACAATATATCAAAATGATTATTTCGTGTATTAAACTAATATTTATAAAATTTAATTAATCTATTTATAAAATTTTTCATTTACACCAAAAAAAATGAATTTAAGGTTTTAGGCAAGTCAATAAGAAAGTAAAGAGGATATTTCCAAGAAGATGCATAACAAATGCTACTAAATTATGAATGAGTATGAACGCTTATAATCATCAAGAAATATCCTGCCACTCTTTTTCTAAAACAATTGCGTTCCAAGAGCGACCTTAAAATAGTGGACAAGTCAATGAGAAAGTCGAGAGGATATTTGCATGAAGATACATAACAAATGCCACTCACTCAATTATGAATTATGAATGAGTATGCATAGCCATAGTCAAGAAATGTCATGGTATTGCCCTATAATTAAAAACAGTAAACAGTAATGTTGGTGAAGCTTTGGCTCGGTTGGCATGCATTGGATATTTTAATACATTTCAGCTGTGTCTATAATTTTGTTTCTATTCGTTAAAATCATTCACCACAATTTTATTTTATAATAAAATTATTTATTTATTTATGTAAATTAATAGATAAAATA